GGGGGGGGGGGGGGGGGGTGAGTAGGCAGGTTGTTCAGAAGCCTCAGACATGCGCTTTATTTTAAGTTTCCCTTACATTATGTTTTTAAACACTGGAACAGTTAGCCATTTCGTTTTATAATGTTTCATATTTAATCTGCTTTTTTTGTGACCACTTTAAGTCTCGCTCTCCAAGTTTTTATGGCATTATATTGTGGTGTATTGTGATGTGCTGCATTGCATCACTGTAATCATAGAAATGTCATCTTAACCTCTGTGTTTATCTGTGTCCTAGCCAATCAGCCTCCTCTGAGCTCTCTAAAGGAAGTCTGAAGGGGGCGGGTCTTTCAGCCATCAGTCACCGTCTGACTGACAGTTCAATCTGATACACAGATTCCATTTGCTGTGCTTTACAAGCAACAATACTGATAACACGCACAGATGCCCCTGCACATTTACGTACATGTCATTGTGTGTGTATGCATGGGCACGTGTGAGTGTGTGTGCGTGTGTGTGTTCACCCTCTCGTCTCTCTTAAGCTGCCTCTCAGGGCTTTTGTTCTCCTCCAGGCCAATCCTCTCATCAATCTCCTGTCGGTTATGTCTCAGACTGTGTTCCAGAGAATTAAAGGGGAATGACTTTGGCTCACTCCCATTGATATTCAGCCTTAAAACATAATTCTACAACAATAGTCGAGGCTAGTGTTGATGAGATGGCAGGCAATCAAAGCAGACATGGGTCCATTCACTGTTGAGCAAATAAAAATGATAGCTTTTATTTATATTGGACGCTCTCTCTCTCTCTTCAGGGGTAATACTTAGAATTGTGCACTCTGCCTGTGGAAAAGTCTCCGCTTTGACAGGAAAGGTTGATGAGGTGAGCTCCACTAAGAATAGCCACTCAAGCCTTTCTAGATGGTGGAGGGAAAAAGGGTTTAATCAAGGTCAAATAAAGCACTGATTGTGTTGAATCCGGGGAAGAGTAAGAATTAGTGTGGGCGCTGGGAGAACGGGGAAGATGTGAAGAGCTGAGGTCAGGCGGATGGCTGAGTGGGCTGTAGATGTACTGAGAGATGGACTGTGTGGAAAAACCGAGATAGCAACATTCATCCATATGCCACACTAGCAGATAGCTTTTTCAGCCTCACATTTAGATCACTGGTGGACTGAAAGAAAGTCACATCATGTTCAAATATATATTTCTATCCATTTCGTTTAAGGACATATAATGTAAATGGGTAAAGTTTGACAGTTTTGTTGCGGACCTAATCAGTGACTGATGGGCCAGCATTAGGTCCATCAGAAACAGTGGAGATTACAGATCAAAGCTGTTACTGCTCTGTCTCTGCTTTTATTCTACCACTAGACGAGCAGACATTCCTCCACAGTCCATTTTCCGCTATCTTTTTCTGTCCTTGCCAAACAAATGCACTGAGAAAAAGACTGAGAGAGACTTCGAGAGACAGGACTGGAGTGTGTGAGATGGAAAGATCAAAAGTAAAGGTCAGGGGAAGAAAAAAAAAAAGGGACGGGCTAGACATATGCAAAGAGGAAGAGAGAAATTGAAAGCGAAGGAGGGAGAGAGAGCAATTGGCTATGTCTTCATGTTGTGATCTGTCAGCGTTGACAGGGATGAGTGGAGCAAACATGCATCTCCCCTGTCCCCTTGGTCAGTTTCCATGGAAACGCTATTTCTCACCCTTACACATATACTGTACGTTCATCCTATTTGCACTGTATTCCCAGCAGTCAGCATGTAGTTCAAATGGACTGTATGACAAAGTAGAGAACTAATAGTCTTTCATGAGGACTTCCATGCAACACAGGGGAATTGTTTAACTGCATATAGTCCGAAATAAGCATCATACACTAAAGAAGTGAAGCTACAGCTCAAAGACTTCCGGGGTCTGAGGTTAGAGCCACAATTTACCCAGCCGTCATGCGACAGTACAATTTGGATGTCATTGTAAGACCTAGCTGTAGCCCTATAACGAACAAAAGTGCAGAGGCCAAGATAACAACGGCAGTTGTCATTTGGAATAATCATTTCCATGAGTTTATGTTTAGGGAAACGCATCAGTGAGCTCAAGGCCAGCGAGTTCAACCTGAAGTTGAGTGGAGGTGAAGGGGAGCCCCTAGTGGTCAGAGCTGGAACGGCAGCACTGTGTCTCAATATCCCTTCTTGTTGTTTCATGTTTCATCACAGGCAGTGGCTACAGAAGTACTCCTATCCTTTACTATAGTAAAAATACTACTACAGCTCAACTATTTAAAATTTCTCCATTACAAGCATGTCTTCTTGCATCCAAAATAAACTTACAGAAGTGTTATCAGCAAAATGTACTTAAAGTATCAAAAGTTCTTGATTTTGGGGGGAAAAGTGCACTGTGGCTGATATATTGACACATATGACATTATTAATACTGATGTATTAATGCTGTGACATTGAGCTAGTTTTAACTACTTCATATACAGTTAGGTAGTTTAATCCTGTGTGTAAACTAGCACACAATTTGGTGATGCTGCTAGTCCAGTCAAAGCACTACATTACCCACTTCTGATTTTTACCATTTACAATATGATGTATTGGCAGAGGACACGTCAACAATAATGGTAAAATATTCATGTATTGTTACATTGACAGTATCTTTTGTTTTCCCATTTAGCCTCTCTTAGAGGTGTCCACAAGCTCAATGAAATTTGTTGACATGCTGTTGTCTCATGTAGCCTAAATTGATTGATTGATACTGTCAGCCTTTCCACTCAGTCTGGTGCAGGAGCACTTGGCGAGCTCACAAGCTGTAAAGTGTAATGCAACCTCCTGACTGGAATGCAGAGTCTAGACAGATGTAGACCCATCACAGTGCCTGTCTGTCTGTACAGGGCCTGCCATGTTCAGGCCAGGTAATTAAACACTAGACGCAAGACTAGCCATTAATTCCAGTGGCTTTATTCTACGTTAAACTCCTTCCATCGAAGACTCAACTTTACTGTGTTGATCTTAAACCCTTTAAGCAGCCAACAATCTCCAGCTAAAAGGTTGTCTTATAGGTGTTGCTGTTATTGCTTGAGGAGCTTGTCAGTGGCTCTAAAGATGTCTTTTTCAAAGCCAAGTGTGCTGTGACATCTATTATAGTGATGGATGACAGAGGGAAAATGGCTAAAACACACATGTGCACACAGAGAGATGACCTCACTGCTACTCCAACCTCCACTGTCCAGTGTTTTCATCATTTTGGCCTCCGCAACTCTCTGACAGAAGTGAGAATTCACTTTCATTTGTCCTCGCGGACATTATCTTCTCTTATCATGTTAGCTTTTGTAAATAATGGCAAATGTTTTTCTCTGTGCTGATTGGCTTCGAATTCACCCGGTGACCTTCGCCACTCATGTCATGAGCATAGGCCCCCACACAGCATCAAACACTTCCCTGTGAGGTTGCCAAGACAGCTTATCGTGTCCACAGTGGACCGTGAGAGTTTTGAAAAGCCAGTTTAATGTTTAACATGCATTACTGTGTGTGTGTGTGCGATTGTATGTACCACTGCATATGACTTTCCCAAGTGTGCTTGTTTTAGTGGTTTGGAGGAAGTTTGTATGTGTGTGTATTTTCGCTCACTGGTATGTGTACACAGAGTGGAAGGATTGATTTATGCCTCCTCCTCTGTGTGTACGCGTCCTTCAGTTGGATGAGTTACACAAAGTGACACTGAGTGTGTGTGTGTGTGTGTGTGTAAAAGCACAACCTGGATTTCTTTTCTCACGCACACCTCATTGCTCTGTTTAGTAGATGCATTTACGCCAGAACTTTTTCAAACGTCTACCTCCTGTTCAGCACACTAGCATTTCCAAGTGACCTTAACCTGAAGTCTAGCTGAAATATACATATTGTACAGCACTGTGTTGTGTTGTTTTCAGAGATGTGAATGGTCTCTCTGTTATACATTCATCATATCCCAGAATAAAATGTTTCAGCTCTTTCATTTTCCTTTTATTACAGTCCAGTTTGATGGTGTGGAGAAGTCTCGAATGTCGCCGACCAAGGAGGGGAAAACCCGGCCACTGCAGCGACACTCCAGTGGCTGTCTGGTCAACACCAAAATGACTTCACTGGACCACTGCACCTCCTCTCTCGGGGAGCGTATTGACCCCACCATGCCTCTGGAAAGCCAGTTGTAAGTCAGATCTTGTTTCTCACTGTGTTTCTTTTTTATGATTGCATTTTATGTCAAATACACCACTTTGATCTTTTCGTTCATTCTGACCCTTGTTTCATTTCCTTTGTTTTATTTTCCTTTGCTGCCTTCTTTCTCATCCCTGTTTCCTATTTTCCACTGTAGCTGGTACCACGGAGCGATCAGCCGAACAGATGCAGAGTCTCTGCTCAGGCTGTGTAAGGAGGCCAGCTATCTGGTGAGAAACAGCGAGACCAGCAAGAACGACTACTCCCTCTCCCTAAAGTAAGGACAGCCATCTCTTTCCTAAATAACAAGCCACAAACAGTATTATCAGATACATTAACACACATAACAGCTGGGTGAAAGAGTATTTGCAAATGCTCCCTACAATTTAGCCTGCTAAAGTGTCACAGACTTAAGAAAATTAAGTTCCCGTAAAAGTTGTCCAACTAATTTTCTGTGTTTTTTAACACAGAGCAAGTGTCAAGGATTATTTACAACAGGCATTCCTACTGTCTGTGCACACACACACACACACACACACACACACACTCACACACTCATACACACCAGAGACACGTAGAACCAAAGAAGTGTGGAAGCTACTCATGCCTACTGCTGAAGTACACATAGCGAACAAATCTGACATCTTGCTTACAGAGGTACAGTATACCTGTGCCCCAATGGTCTGCTGACTCTGCCTTTTCAATATGGTAATGATTTTCACCTTTCAGACCTCTATCTCCCACCTACATCCTGCCCGTCCCTTGTCCTCCACCTCCCCCTGGTAACCCCTCTGACACCATCGGCTCCTTGATTTGCTGATGTGCCCACAACTCAGTTATGATGCCCTTCATCAGCGACCCTCTGATCCCTGCCGTGTCCAGCAGTGGGTTCAAAGCAGCCACTCTGATTGGTTTAGTCTAGTCTGACATTTGGTAGAGGTTACTTTAGCTTGAAGGCCTGCAGTGCAGTCACATCGCATTCTTTTGATGGGAACGTGCGACTTTGGTGGGTTTGGTTTAGTGATTTTCACTACCAGGTGTAAGTACCAGGTGCCATGGCAACAGTGTCAATCATAGCCAGATATTTGTAACACTTGCCAAAATCAACTTTTGTAAATTTTCTTAAGCGATGAGTTTTAAAATCTTAGTATCTTTGTTGACAAATGGTCTTATTTACATTTACTTCATATACAGTCCATTTTACATTTGAAGGCAGGCTCAACCACACGACATTTAGAGAAATCTCTACAACTCCATGACAACCTTCAGATGAGATGAAACTATAATATGATAAGAGACACTGATTAGCCTTTGTTATTACAGAGCTCATCTTGCCGTAGGCTTGTATATCTTGGCAGAGAAACATAATGCTTTCCACTGCTCCAATTCTCTCCATGCCACTGTGGCTGACTGCCTGTCTAACTTCCCGTCTCAGTGACTGATCATCTGCTTATGCTTGTGGGACTGCTTCTTTTTCTGCCTTACTGATTGACAGAATCAGCCTGACTTACTAACTGCTGGGCTGCCGACCTGCTACACTGCTTTTCTAACTGACTACATACCAAAGAGACAAAACAGCTGTACCATTATTTGAAAACTACACACTGTATATTTAATTCCTTGTGTTAATGTAGTAATATCAGTTTAAACAGCTTTGAGGAGTAAGAATACATTATTTAAGACTGAAAAAAGAGGATACATGATCAATAGCTGCAAACAAAAACCAGAATACACACACAAACACACACACACAAATACTTCATGTCCCCAACACATGATTAAGAAACCAGCTAGTGTACAGTGAATGAAAACTATAAGACAGACATATGAGATCTAAGTGGACTAGACCCATATCTCCAATGTAGAACAAAAGGCTTTTGCTACAGGGGGGTGTTGATATAGGGAGTGATTGTGCAGCAGGAAGTGAATCTGATGAATGCACCTCTAATAAGCACCAATTCAATTTTGGGGCCTGAACCTTTAATGCTATTTTTTGTGAAGCTAGAGAGAATTAATCCATCCATCTCTCTATTATGGTGAAAATGAGATTACCTATGCTGGGGGGGGTTTACCTCTCCAAATGAAATTCCTGATTGCTAGATTAATTGAATGAATAAAGTTTTGGGGGAGGAATACCAGGAGGCACTGGAAATGTCCTGAAACTTGTGTGGATTAAACTGAACCAGGCAATAATAAAATCAAGGTATTTCATCTTCAGTAAACATCATATTTGATTTAGTGTGTGAGGAAAATGGCCATTAGTGAACCAGTTTAAAAATGTTTAAACTTCTGGTTCAGTAATGGCCTCACTAACATTCATGTAACTATGCTAATTCACATCCCACAGCTGTCCAGCTGACCCTCAATAATGAGCTGCACTATTAGAGCGTGTGATAGGGGAGTACAATTAGTAAAAAGCATTACAACAACTCGGTTGGTAAGGTAGAGGGAAGCATTAGCTTATGGTAGTTTAATGCTTGTATTATTTATGCCAATTAATTCTGACCCTCCACTTGCCACGTGCATGTTTGTCACACTGAGTAGTAGAAGAAGAGAAATAATGCTGACGAGATTGTGTTAGTATCGGTGTAGCAAATTTGTTTAATCTGCAGCATCGTGTTGCCCGGACCAGCAGAGGTACTCTTCCCCTCTTTGTCAAGTGGATGACTCCAGGGGCCGGCCTCAAGCTTTTTGGGACCCTAAGCAGAATAGGATACAGGGATGTCCTCGGGGCCCTAAGCAGACACTTAGTTTGCTTTTGCCAAGAGCAACCCTCACAGTTGATAGGGTTGGCATTGATGAGTTTAAAAGGTAAAGTGATAGAGAAAGGTTCTCATACCAGGGGCCACATGGATAAAAAGTATAAAAGTATATATATATTTAAGAGACTTTAAGAGATCTTAATGAGTGAGGTTTAAGCAGTTTCACGTATTACCTAATTTTCCCCGAAATCCCCGAGATCATTTCTCACGGAGTGGCCATCAGAAAATGGAAGCTTCACAACAAATGCTTTCATGTCTGCATACAGTTTGTGACCCTCTGTTCCATACAGTGACCTTTTTCTTTTAACAAACAGTTCATTACAGATCTCAGGGAAGAGGACCACCCTAGAATTGTCCCATATCATGACGCACACATATGAGTGTTAGGTTAGGTTGTGATATTGCACGTCAGTTTCTGTCAGGAATGGCCAAATATAAAAATGTTAAAATAACTCACAGGTCCTATGAATTAAGGTGTCAGACCCTAGCATCGAGGCAAATCAACTTAATTCCTGTACACCAATTTAAGCTGACAGACTTTTTAAATCTATCTTTTTCTTGGAGTGGTGACTTATGTGTACTATATAGTAATAAGGTAGCAAACTGTTCACAACTGACTGCACTCGCTAGCTGAATGGCTGTCAGGGAAAGCACCTGCAGAAGGATAAAAAAACATTAATATGGAGACATTTTCCCTGAATCTCTGTGCTTCTGTGTGTGTAGACGGTGCTTCTCCAGGTCACCAGATGTCATATCTTTTGCCTTTGGCGTCAGTCAAATCACGCCTGGAAAACAATCAGAAGGCCGATTTAAGGGAATGACAGGTGCCCCCACACTCCAGGCAGGGTTAACTCTTGAGTTCAGTCTGCTCACACAAGCCCGTCTCCCCTGCTGCCACTGAAAATGAGTGGAAACCCAAGGTGAAGATCCTCCATGTCTGAGGTTGCTGAAAAATGTATAAGGCCATGAGGTGGCACGTATGTGTACTGCATTATTGATAAAGACAGACGTCGCTGAAACCTCCAGCCTCAAGAGTCCTCTGGCCTGACAGAAGGCATTTTCTGTCTGCTTTTCCCCTCTAACTCCTCTTTTCTGTTCACCTGCCCCTCACCCCCCACCCACCTCTTTTTTTCTCTCTTTGGAAACCCTTTTAGGTGTTTGAAACATATTAAACCCTTCACAAGACCACAGTGCCATCCTGTTTCTCACCTCACGAGAGAGCCCTGCACAGCATGTTTCCTCTGGCTGAGTAGAGAAATTGTTAGTGAAAGAAGAAAATCCATCCAACAGAATCTGTATGACGCCAGAACACAAATACGAGGGAACTAAATAGGCAATTGACAGAACAACCAAAAAGTCTGCAATTCAAGTCCTCTTCCAAAGGAAAAAAAAAAAGATTTCCTTTATGTGGCACAGACGACACAAATTACTTTCCACATCACAAAAGCAATACTGAATTTGACTTTTTGAAGTCAAGTTTTTCAGTGTTCTTCCATCAACCTTTACCACCACCAACTATATCCTTTTTCCATCTGTTGTTCATTACCGAAAGGAAACAGGTAGACTCATTCAGTTTGAGCTAACATGAAATAATGGGCATGAACAGGATATCTGATGCCCAGTAATGCTTAAAAAGGTCATCGCTCCTGCCAAGGATCATTATCTTTTTGGCAGATGACTTTGCTTTGCTTTTCTGGTGCCATAGATTCATAACACTGAGAGCATCATTCATGGAGCTATCCAATATGTTGAAGGTGGAGATAAGCAGTGATTGCTGTCAGGCTGTCCCTGCTCTGAGGACTACAGGGTTCAAATCAAAGTCATAAACCTCAATAAACACGACAGGAGACCTCCCCAGCGAGATTAATCCTGATTAGACAATAGAAGCCCGCAAACACAGGGATATGATAACACCACAAAGGCCTGTCTAAAAAAATATCCCCATATTCAGTTTTATCAACAGCCCTGCCGTGTTGCTCTGTTGTCCAGGTTTCTGTCTCTGCAGGACTGTAACGTGATAAGCAGCCCTGAACACCGACTGGAAAGTCAGTTGGGAATCTGAAAATGATGCTATTGATGTGTTTGCCTTTTTAAGTGTAGGTGTGTGTAACCTAACGCCCGTCTCCCTGCACTCCACATGAAGAATCATCAGATGCACTTTGCAGGGAGGATTTTTTTCAAATGAGCTCTCCCAGCACCACCACCAGAATGGTAGAGACCTGTGGAAGGTGGAATTTGTCCTGCTCTCCTCAAATCATGTTAATGACATGTTCAGATATCGAGGCCAGAGGCAGAGTAATGGAGCAGTCTGACAGTTGTGTTTACTTATAGCTCAGCAAGCCTGCAGCTTTTTAACTCCGCTCGCTTATCAAAAATGATGTTAGCATTCCGGTTGAGGTTTCCATCATCTGCCATACGCAGTACGTAGGATTCCAAAACTTCATATATTGCTTTATCTGATTTTATATCAACAATAATCAGACTACAATTTAAAAAAAAGAAGGGTCTCATCTGTTGACAAAGTTTGATCTCACATGAAGGAATCACCAGTTTAAATCTATTCTTATTCTTGATGGATGTCCCTAAATTGAACCCTGTACATTCTTAGCCTTTTTTCCACTTCAGTGTTATCTCTGTGCCAGATTCTCTCTGTGCATCAGGGAGAGAACACATCTGCAGGCTTTACACATGCAATTATGAGATAAGTAAAGAATGGACTTGCCTTGCGTTTAAGGTGCCTAAAGCCCAGTTCTTGCTCCTGTTCAGCACAGATAATGTGCATATATTTACACTGGGAATACGTTCAACGACCTCAAGAATATGGATTTTGTTCATTTTAGTTGCTTCATTTGTCTGCCTAACTATTCTTGAACCCATATAATAATCAGTAATAGAAACAAATATACACGGAAAAGAGGAGCTTGGCATCTATTAAAGGTTGTAAACCTCATCAGCACTCTTGACCACTCTGTTTTCACTGTATCTTATCAAAACAGAAATGTGTGCTTATGTCTGTCTTTGTCAGAATGACAACCCAGATGGTTGATTCATAAATAATATTTCTTATTTTTAACACCTTTTTACACACTTATCCTGCATGTGCACAGGCCTTATGAGAGTCCTGTTCCACACCATCTTTGACATAAACAGAATGCATAGTGCAGATAACTCTTAACTGGTCCCGTGAGTTAATGCAGTATCATGCTTACCCGATGTGTTTGGCTGCTTGTCACAGAAAGGGTTAGTGAGAAATGGTAATCTTTAAGGTTTTGTCTCCCCTTTTTCTTCCAGTGTAATGGAAAACCTCTGCTCTTATCCGGCATTTCAGCAGCAGGGGTTACATTTTAGATTAGGGAAATATAATAACACATGATATAAAGTAGAATAGTTGGGAGTTTAGTGAGCTGGAACTAGGGCACATTATATTGATGACAGGCCATAATGTCCACTTGGAGCAAGTGAATGCATACTGTTTGAGCCTAAAGCAATCATAACTTGCTCAACGCATTAGCTGCTGATTAAAAAAGCTATTATGCTAATGTATTTGAGACAAAGTATCAAAACAGTATATTTACAGCAGCATATAGGGACCATTAGTTTTGTATGAATTCCTTGCTAAAGCCTACTGTTGCATCACTTAACTCCAGAATAGTCATTTTCTATTTTAAAGAACAAGATTACTGGCAAGCTGTAAAATGTATTGATCGAAGGCTCCTAGGAACACGCAGGGAGCTTTTAATTTGCTGTGCACTTATTGCTGTAGCTTAAGTGATTTATCCTGGGGGTTCATTAGCCTCATCCCTATGCTCTGCATGTGAAACCCAGCACCTTAAACAAACTGCCTTTTAGTCTCCTCCCCAGACAGCTTCAAAGTTATCAGAGTTAATCCAGCTTTCAGAACATTGTCACGTACTGTAGGGAGCAACTGCTGGAGGAGTAAATGAGAAAGGGGCTGTCAAGAAGGGACGATCTGTTGAGTTTCCATATATTCAGGCTTCTAAAATTCTTTTCTCTATAAATTAGTTTTTATTCATGCCAGCGACATGGCTGTAGGCACAGCAGTGACGTACGTTGGTCCCCAACTTTGGTCTGCACTGAAATCTCTCAACAGCTATCGGATGGATTGCCTTTAAATTTGGTACAGACATTTATATTTCCCAGAGGATGAATCCTAGTGACTTTTCATGATCCCTTCAGTTTCCATGTAGCGCCACCTGCAGGTCACAGTTTTCACTTGCCCAGTGAAATATCTGAAATGAGCACTTTTTAAAAAAAAAAAAATGTTTAAGACATTTCCATCAGCTTCAGCTCTACTTTGTGTTCGGTGCGAATTATCAAATGTTAGCATGCTAACATGCTAACAAATGATGACATGGTAAACGCTGTACCTGCTAAACAATTTTTTGCATAGTCATTGTGAGTGTGTTAGCATTCTGAAAAAAGAATGTTTTGTAAGAACTGGATCTGAAGATGGCGCCCATTCATTTGAATTAAAATTGCAAGAACAAAAGCCAATAAGAGTTAATAAGAGCCCGTTCTCATTCCCGGGTTCGCGAGCAACAGACACGAGCAGTGTTCAAGTAGTTGCAATCAGCAACGTCGCCAGATTCCACTAAGTCCTACACGCTGGACCTTTAACACAAACTATCTGTTTTCATGCTATGAAAGGGAACTAACGAAAGGTTTTCTGTCCCTCTCTTTTGTCTTCTTCTGTCCCCAGGAGCAGCCAGGGCTTCATGCACATGAAGCTGTCGCGGACTAAGGAGAACAAGTACATCCTGGGCCAGAACAGCTGCCCTTTTGACAGTGTGCCTGAGATCATCCATTTCTACTCCAGCCGCAAGCTGCCCATCAAGGGTGCCGAACACATGTCCCTGCTCTACCCTGTAGCCATCAGGACACTATAGTGCTCTGGGTCACCTGCAGGCGATGGCCCCTGCAGTACTCACTGGGCCACCCTGTGGCTCCACCCATCCTGTCCTCTCTGGACAGAGCCCAGTCGGCTCATGGGAAGATGAACAGTGGCATCCCAAAACTGCTGATCCTGACTCACCTCACTGGCTGACAGATTCCAGACCTGCTTTGAAGGCCTACTGCATACTATCTTATACATACTGACTCAATGTTGCAGAAGTCTTTATTATTTTATTTTATTTTATTTTATTTTATTTATGACACCCACTTCATTACATCGCAAACTGATTCTCTGATGAATATCATTTCAGTTATTCTTGAGCTGATTTCCCTTAGCACTTAACACTCAAAGAAAAAGAAAGGTACAACATTGTAACATTTATCACTGGGGTGTACCTTTTCTCATAAATTTGGAACCTTTTTCCTAAGAGTGCACAAAATTGAATGAAAATTGTGTATGAACAAGTTTTGCTCATTTGGTTTAGGCTCTGTTGATACTGTAATTGTTTGTGAGGGGACTTGAAGATTGTAAGAGCTGTGTAAGGGAAGCGACATTTATGAGGCACGTTGAGGGATATTGTCCACATGGGCCCCATACAGTGGCCAGGATATTGAATAAACTAGCCTTGTATGAATGGTATGTCCCCAGCTGCGCGGAAATAACAGGCCTGTGAACAGTGCAGACTGATCTCTCTATCTTGTCATAGCTCATGCTGTCTGCTATCCATCACTGAGTGGGAGTATCACACCAATGACAGTGTAAGTACCATTGTGGTGAGACTGGCAGGAAAGCATGATGGATGGGTCAACCCATCTGACACAGTACAATTGGCTGAGGCTGGAGACCAGAGCCTGTCCAAATGGACCAAATTAGCCTCGCTACCCCTGCTTAGGATGGCTTTGCATCGGGAGAATGAAATATGCCTGCATTGTCTACCTCAGAAAATCAATTTCATTCGCCCATCTGCAGATCAATAGGTACAATGGGATTGCAGACATCGATCTGCCTTCCCTTCGACATTCCCAATTCCCCTTAAAAATTGCGTCATTGGTTTTTAGGAATATGTTTTTTAAATATGGTTAATCCAAGATTTCTTTTTTTATGAAAACACAAGCAGATTTTCCAGATCAGCAATTGTATGTATAGTCACTAATATGATACAGTGTGATGTCAGTAACAAATGTTTGGTTAATGCCTTATAATGCATGGGTCAAATCAGTCCGCTAGATCAGCTGATTTCCAATTCCGCTTTTAACGATTGTTCTGTGACTGTAATTTATTCTGGGGTAATTATTACTGATGTGTTACTCCTTTGTGATGGCCCGTCGGCCCCCTCGCCCTCATTGTTCTGTGCCGATGTGATCGTGTTTTTTGGAACTACTTCAGCCTCTTTTACTGTGGTGCTTTTGCAATTTTTGTTGTTTCAAGTTCTGCTAAATGCACGTTTGCCTCGGTGGCCTGACTCTGGGACACGAGTCGCGGCGTCTCCTGACCAACGGGATTGTCAAGCCTGGCGTGAGAGACGCATCCCCCCTGCCCCCCCTCCCAATCACTGTGCAGCCTGTTCGAACCGGATAAACACCTACCTAGTCATACTTCCACTTTGCATTAAAATTTCTCTGTCATCTAACCTTTACTACCAGATGTGCATATATGTGTGAGTGTGAGTGAGTATATATGTGTATGAGAAGGTGTGTGCAGACTTTTTTTTTTTTTTTTACCCTGCTGGTACAAACTGGTGACAGCCCTTGCTTGAACCTCTTTGGTTGTCAGCAGCTTTTTTTTTTCTCCCCTGAAGTCAAGAAACCAGAATTCAGCCTTATGACTCACTAATTTTCATTTCTTTATTTAACCACATTTGATTTTAGCAACTCATAGTAGTGACAAGTCTGCCTCGGGGCCTGCTCTCTGCTGTTTATTGTAACAAACCCAATAATATTTCAGCCCACAGCGTGTAATATTGCTGACCAAGGTTTTTGGCAGCAGTATCCACGCCATGAACTGGCACCAATGAGAGTGCCTAATGCTTGTGTGATCTAATTGCCTCTTCAGAAAAAACGTTGTCACTCTTGTGCGTTACAAAAATCTGTGGTTTAATGGGAAAATCCAAGTAAAAATGGAAATTTTTGGGGGTGGGGGCATTGGTCCAAGCTGAAAATGACTGACACTAGGAATACAAAACTGACTTGAGCGAGCATCACCACTGTGTATACAAAGTCAAACACATTTTGGCTTTGACTATATCTCCACTGTGTGCTATGCAACTATGAACTGCAGTCATTGAAGGGGAAATGATTGTGTGCCTCCACCAAATGCTTGTAACAAATGTGATGGTACAAAATGTCCACCAGGAAGAGATTTAATCAGCAGAATGACCTGATTAGTAAATAGAATAGTTTGCAGAAAGTGGGACGTATACAGACGTTTATTTTGTTGGTCCGGGAAGTGAGCTGACAGAAGTCGCTGTCATCAGATTAGTATGTCATATGAGGGTGTCTGTATGTGATATGGCAACCTCTGCAGCTTTAATAGGGAATAGCATGTTGTTGAAGTGGAACTATGATAGCCTAAGAAGAAATGCAAATTAAGTATATGTATAATGTATCTTTTATGTTCCGAATGTTCCCTGTTTAAGAGATCAAATATTGACAGTAGAGGCTCTTTATTTAGTTACTGCTGCTGATGAGTATTACTCTACTACAGGAAAGAGCCTGCGTATGATGGCCGGACTGCCTGGAGAGAGGCCTTAGCTTTGGAGAAAGGGAAAATGGGAATAAGGGGGAGACACAGGGGAGGGTGTTCTGACGGGGTGAGGGATTTGCTGCAATCAGCAGACACGCTCTCCACATTTGTATATTTCTATTATGAGAACCTGAAAGAGCCCTTCTCCTCCCTCAGAAGTGTCTTAAAGCGCGCGTGTGTGTGTGTACACACAATTGTGCATGCATGAAACGTGTTCGTGTGGGTGTGTGTGCGTGTGTGTACTGGTGTAAGCAACCATCAGCCATTGACTTGCCCTGTGTGTATCTTCTGTATCACTTTACTATGGTAAAGTGGCATGTATGAGTTTCCTTTGTATTTTTGTGCCACGTATGTATGCACTACTATAACATATCTCTGTACAGTCCCTCATGGCCAAATGTATATACTGAATGTATTGTATGGGGACATAGAGGCATCAAGGTTCAAAATAAATAAAATTGGGTTTATGAGTTAATGTATGATTTAATGTTTCACTGAGATTTCTTCTGTTGTTTTCTTGCGGACACACTAAAGCAAAACACATAATTATTTAGCAAGAGAAAAGCTCCTTCCTGTATCTTCACCATCGCCTGTTACCATGGTGAAGCCCTTCGATAAATAGTGAAGAGCAACCATTGTTTGAGTCAAGGACAGAATGCTGCAGCTATTATCAGGCCAGTACTCCAGCACTTGTTCTCCTCTATTGATCCACTTTGTTGCACAGTCCTGTAATATATATATATTTTTCACTCTGTTGTTTATCCCAGTAACATTTGCTTCATGTGCATCTGTCAGAGGCTTGTTAGTCCATATTTCCTACAGTTAGCTTCCCTGCTTCCAGTAATCACACCTCTGGCCTCTTTGATCATAAAGTTTATTGCAGCATTTTATGCATGTAGGCTATTTCTGTCTGCACTGTAAATTCAGTGAAGTGTGAAACATATGATTCTTGGTATTTGAAGAGAGTCTTTGCCTCAAGTAACTTAAGTAATTTAGAGGGCAGATCTAAGCCAAGAGGAGACAGAAAAGTAATTTTGATATAGAATAGTCACGCTTTATTTTATGGGTCTGTTTTAAGGGTCAAGTTTCCTTGAAGAATCCTGTATTTAGGTGCTAACAATGGGAAAATAAACTAAACTCCTTCAAAAAATGCTTGCCTGTAGACAAAATAAACATTTTTGTATAAGTGACCTGCTAAACACTGACAAAAGGAGGGTTATGCTACCAGTTATTCTGAATTAAGTAACTGGATGTAACTGAACTCTCTATTCCCCTATAATTAGTACTGATTTACATTGCTGTATATTGCTATATATAAATAGCAAATCCATGTTTTATGGATGTTTTGCTACAGCAAAAGCAACATATTTAGTTGTTTTTTATGCTTCTCTAGTATTTTGTACAGTATGAAATCTGTTTTAAATATAAGCTGTACTCTGTACTGCATTCGTTTCTGTGATTGTGGATACTTTCCAGCCAGACACATACTCACATGTTATCACACCCCCTGTGGTGCCACTGCTACATGTAAATGAAACTGTTGAGTGCTGTTGAAATCCCTTACTTGAAAATCTTTTCCAGAACTGTTGCATTGTGACAGCAAAAATTGTTTTCACACAGCACATTTTGGCCCCAAAAAAAACAAAAATCTGGCATTCAGGAAGAGCACAGGCAGGGGGTTGATGAAAGGAAACCTAGACCATTCACAACCTCTCGAGTCGTTTGATAGTTGGCAGAATCTGTAATGCACACACCTCAAGTTTGGCTTGTGCAGTAATTGACGGCCAGATAGTGAGGGCTTTGTCTATGAGGCTCTGACAGTGAAACTGTTCGCAGACTGTGTGGGAGAGACAATATTTTTATGATATGATGGTGAGTACAATTATACACATTATTGTGTCATTTTGGCCACTTTTCACCAAAAATGACTGTAAAATTCTATATAAGAAATGCAAAAAAACATACTAGAGATTTAGTAAAACATTGTTCAATAACAACACTGGCTACACACATGCTTCTGCAGTGCATTACTCATTTCAAATGTCACATTAGATGTAGTTGTAGCTGATCTCAGTCAAATCCACAACTTCAGACAAAATGAGGAGAGAAGCTATTATAAGTTTCCTCCCAGGGATTGGTGCATGATCTTTGCCTCTCCCTCTGCTGCAGCTCTGTTCTCCTCCAGAGGAGCTTCATCAGGGGTTAAAGCACCTGGGATGAAATGCATCAAAGAAGCTTTTGTGGACAAAAAGAGTGCTGGAAAAAGGAAGAGAGGAAGAATAAAAGCATGGCTTGAAAGCAATGAATGGGCCACAAGGGGATAAAATGGCCTTGTGTCCATCAGAACCTCATTTCATATTCCGCTCAGTCACGCCCGGCAGAAAGCAATCTCAGGTAACAGACCTTATGTTAATAACACGTGGGTTGCCTCCTTTCAGAAAGACAAAGCGGACTGAGGGCATTATGCCAACTCTATCCTTTCCTCCTCCTGTGGCACGTCGGAGGATTTCATCTGGAGAGAATAGTGTTGGTATTGTTCTACTTGTCTGTGAGGGCTTGATTAGAGGAGCTTTTACACCATTTCAAAAGGTCTGGCATTGATGATGTCTATTGGCTTAACATATTGCCTGTAATGACATGGTGCAAAACCTTGCTCATTACCTGAATCCCAGGTCACTGTGGGAGTAATTGGGCAGATTTGTGCCAGCTTCAAAGCTCCAGGCTTGATTCATTAGCAAGGCATCTTTCTAGTTGTTAAAGCCATTTCCTGTTCCTGCTCAAGTGCACCGATATACCTCCACCACACGTCACTACGGTAACAGCTGAAAGTTAAAAAGAGCACACGGAGAAAGTCTAACAAACTCTTATGGGTTGAAGTGCAGTGTAGGCACTCTCGGATGTCTATGGCAAAGCCCAATGAACAGCGTCTATATTGATTTAAGTGGCAGAATAGACAGAGAGATAAAAAAATAACAGCTTGCTTTCTATGATTTCTGCTCCCTCTGAGAACTTCAAAGTTGGTGGTTCACTTGTGATGGTGAGTGCCACCAGCAGGTACAATACAGCCCCCTATTAAAAAGAAAAAAAAAAACTTAAGATTCACCTCTCTCTCATGTAGGGCCTGCTGCCATGACAACATCGCCTTTGTTCCTAGAAACTTAAGATGTTTTTTGTTTTTTTTCGGGCCTTACAGGTCTTATGTCAGATGCGATGTAAGAGTCAAACAATACCTATCGGTTCATATAGTGAGCTGTAATTTCAGCTCTGTTTTGACTTAAGGTTGGATATAGAGGATTTAATATCAGGCAGGGTCCTTAGAGATTACATACAGTCAATACGACTCTCACAGCTGACAACAAAGGGGACCTAAATGTGGTGTAATAACAGCTTCTCTGTACCATATGTATGGCAGCATTTCACACACCATTGAGTATCTCCATGACAACTTCACATGATTTCACAAGGTAAATTGCTGACAGTATCAGGGAAGGTGCAGTTACGAGGCTTGTGAAGGCGGTCTAATTCATAAAAACAGTAAACAGACAATGCACTGTTTTTTCTCTGCAACACTTCACAGCTTACTAGCAACAGAAGTACATAAGAACCACATCTGACTGGAAATCAATGCAGAAATAGTGTACAATCCTCCTGCTTGCTTTATTCCACTAGTTCAAGGCAAGGACAGCCGTCTCCTTTCTTAATTTGCTAGAAAGCCGATGACTTTTATTCACTATTGTTTTGTTGAAGCGTTGACACTCTTTCCTTCAGCACAGTGGAAATGCTTTATTTTTAAAATACCCTTGGAGGCAGTTGGAGGTGGAAATTGCCCGCAGGTGTGCATGCATATAAAATGGTAATGGGGACAGACGGACACAAAGCGCTGTTTGGGTGCCGCGCTCATGAAAGGGCAATCCACTGATTGAGCTGTCACATTCACAGATGCAGTAATAAAATTAAGCAGGGCAATTACTGTAGATGCAGAACGGTAGGTAGCGGAGGGGGGCACGCAATATGTCCTCCCCTAAAATACCCTGATGGGAGACAACGAGACAAAGCAAATGTAGCCCTCTGTAATAAGGCTGGGGGAGAAAAAAAAAAAAAGGGGGGGGGTCAGCTAATGGTCAACAATGCTCACAGCACAGAAACATCTCAGCGTTGTTATAAAAGCTATCACCTTATCTGTGCAACTTCCTTTTTTTTCCTCTTATTGTCTAAGCATATTGCCTTCTTTTGACGAAATGAAAGCCCACAACTACAATGATAAACAACCATTTTCCAAACACTGTTCAACAGAGGGCAGATCAAGAACCATGATTTAAATTTTTGGAGAGAAAAGCAAAAGGCATGCATTGTCTGCTAGGATGGCAATCAGTCATGGCTGGATAGACAACTAAAGCTACTGCATTGCCCATCTAGTTGAACAAATACTGGGTACATTACACTGGCCTGGAGTAGACAATGTAGTGTGGCGTTTGCAGCAATATCTAATACTGCAACCCGAAGTACTGTACATGATTACACAGCCGCTTGTACGATTTAAGAAGCAAACCAAATAAGAAAAACGAAATCCGAGCAGCCGCTCAGGGTGACCTTATAAAACACGAGCATCCCAATAGG